CCCCCTCCCCTCGTCTACCCCATACACACCACCCACACAGATAGACTTTATATCTCTTCTCTTCAATATATCTCTTTCCTTCTTTTCTCTTTCTTCTTTCTCTTCTCTTCTCTACAGTGCCCCTGCCACTTGCCGCACCAGGTCTGGCCGCTGGGCTGCCTGTGTGATCACGTAATTCCGCAGCCGCTGCGAGGCATCACGGCTGCATTTGAGAAATCCAACAAAGTTTGCCCCGCCGAGAATGACGCCAACCACAGCCATTGGCAGCCGCGTGAAGGACATCATGTTAAATAACACCATTAACACCCACGCCGCACAGTTCCCACCAGTCGTGACCCAAAAGAACCATTTATCAAATTTATTCACACGTTTATCGGCGTCTGGGGCACTTTCAAAGATCCAATGTGAAGATCCATCCTCACGGACTTCATTCCACCAACGCAGACTTACGAGTAAACGACCCGTCACGTTCTTAGTAGTCCAGAAATCCGCAGCGAGGAAGAGAATAGTGATAACAAAGATAACAACATGACTGGAACTGAATATACCACCAAGAATAAATGTTAAAAGAGCTGCAATTTTAAAAGCAATGTGAAAGAAAGCAGCGAATGGATGTACACCCTTGTAAATAGCTTCATCAGACTCTCCCTGTTGCTGTTGTTGTTGTTCTTGGGGTGGTGGTTGAAATTGTTGTTGAGATGACATTTGGCTAGTGTTAGGATCAAACTGTGAGGGATTATATGCGGTATTGCTGTTTGCATTTGCTTGAAATGCACTGGAGGAGGGGACTTCTCCTCTTGCGGCGGTGGGTGGAGTTCTCGGCGAGAAGTCAAAGTTCGGTTTGTTTGGTTCTAACATTCTCACTCTTCCTATTTGATTCTACTAAAGACTTTTATATAAAGATATGTATATATATATATGGTTTCCTTTTTTTTTCTTTTGGCTACTGGGGTTCCTTCTTATAGCAGTTACTCCTTTTTTTTTTCTTTTGTTTTGTGTTTCTTTTATCTTGTCGGTGTTGTTGTTTTTTTGTCCTTCTGTGTAGTGGAAAGGGGTTCTGTGTTAATAATGAAATGTATAGATGACCACCCCTCCTCAATTAACTCAGAACCTTAAGAACACACACACAGTTGTGAACTCTACTCCATTTACATTCAAGAAAAAAAAAGAAAAAGGAAAAAGGAAAAAAAAGCATCAATAAACACAGAGAGGGATATATGGGCTTTAGCCTTTATCTCTTGTAAGATCCATTATATATATATATATATATTAATCGTGTTTATACTACTTGCAGATGTAGAGAAAAAGTACATCTATATTTTCTTTTTTTTCTTTAATAATATTATATTTAGACGTTCTCAGATCGACCACGTTTTCGACCATTCATGATTGTAGGGCATGCAACAACTTCCCTCTCATCATTATTATTATTTTTATTATTATTATCAACATTGTCATCATCATCATCACTTATATCCACATCAACGACTTCCTTTTTCACTTGTGGTTGTTGTTGTTTCTTTTTCTCATCCACATTCGAGTTCCCATAACTATTCATCTCCGTTTCACCTCTTGAAGTGTATTTGCATTTCTTTTGTACACGCCGCCATTCACGATTTCCTGGTCCAAAGAGCACAACTTTATCATCTTCCTCTTCCTCATCACTATCATTATTATTATCATCATTATTATTATTCTCATCATTCTTCTTGGCTTTACTTATAGTATCTAGTGCAGACTGTAGTGTGTGATCTACCTGAATATCATTTATATAAACAGGTAGATCACATATTGGACAGTTCCACGCACTACTGCGAAGTGCAGATTCCAAATAAGTGGGAATATCAAAACAAGCCAAGTGGGCGCAGTCTTTTCCTTTTCCCGCTATTCGAATACGTTGATAACTGAGAGGACAACGAAGCGTAACAATAGCCTCCGTATCATCCAAGGCATTATCATCCTCTAATACGGTTCCTCCTAATGAGGATGTATTATTATTGTTATTATTGTTATTATCATTGTTGGCAGGTTCCTTCTGTTTATTATCTGCAGTAGTAATAGAATGAGAATAAGAAGAAGGATCCTCACACGTATTCACATTTCCCTCATCTACCCATCCACTATCCACATCTATATCCGATTCACTACCATCTATACTTCCAGCACGACTAGGACTACTACTCGTACTGCTCATATTATTCCTATCATTATCCTTTTCTAACAATAATGATAATGATGATGTATCTTCCTTCTTTACATCTTTCATATTCACATCTTGAGAGAGTAAACTTGAAATTCTTTGCTCAATAAGAAAAGGAATATCAATTACTTTACACCATGCTAATAAGAAAGTGGCTGTCCAAGTTGCATGACTTGTAATCCGAAGATTTAATCCCGCATTTGGATCTATTCTACTCATTCCACTTATTCCATCCCTGATGTGTTTTAAATACGGTGTGAGTAATAAACCAGAGAGAGTGCGGTGACTGACACTCCGCGTTGGACATCGTGGAAGTGCTGTGGTGATGTAAACATCATTTACAAACACTGAACACTCATGTAAAGAAAGTAACGGCCATCCAATGGGTTTCATGGGATCTCCATATTTACATGGGAAGAGTACCAACTCTAACTCATTACTATTCCATTCCTTCATAGAAGGCCATACAGATGATGATAATGTTGATAATGATAATGAAGAAGAAGAAGAAGAGGATGTAGATATAAAAGGTGGTTGACCAATACGTTGTAAGACTACACCGTTACTGTTGCCTGCTGTGATATCAAAGCGATGGATAATGGAATGAATGGGAAAACACGGCTGTTGGACACTAGGCGGTGGTATTAACAGCATCCTATTTACTAATTATCCACACACACACACACACGTATATATTTTTCCTTCCTTGTAATGGAGTTTTTTTTTTTTTTTTTTCCTTCACTACACAAATACACCTCAGAGAAAGGGATTGTGTCTAATTATTTAGTTAATAATAATAATAATAATAATAATTAAAATAATAATTAAAATAAAAAAGAAAAAAAGAAAAACCAAGGATAGGTGTAGAAGAAAAAAAAAGGGGGGATTCGTACAACAATTCATAGTGTATACAAGAATGATAAGAGAGCACACAAAAACAGAAAAAAAGAAGATAAAGAATGGGGGAAAAAGGGGGACGTAGAAATAAGTTTCATTCTTCTCTCACACTTCAAAATCACTCAAAGAGAGCCAACGACGTACACAAAGATCACCCTTTGGAAATAATATAGATAGATAGAAAGATAGGTAGGTAGATAGATATGCATGCGTGTGTGCGTGTATTTTTTTCTTTTTATGTGAACAATGTATATATATAAAGGTGTCATAACGCACCTTCCAAGCACAGAAAAGCGTTTATCCACACCTTTCTCTCCTATTGATCTCCTCTCTCTCTCTCTCTCTCTCACAGATTACACACACACACTCTCTCTCTTCTTCTTCTTTTCACTATATATATATATATATATATATATATATATATATATATACTCACCTCAAGTACAATAAATAAATAAAAAAGTCTCTTCATCTCTCATATTGCTGCCCCGTGGCGCTCCTTCTGCCGCTGCACAAGATACACCATTCCACAGTACAACATCTCCAACGCCTCCTGTTCACAATCACGACCGCGTGTTTGTCTGCAGCGCTGCAAAGTTGTGCGTTCCTCACGGCAAACAGGGGCATTCGCGGCTGCTTTGAAGATCGCCGCATGTCGACGTTCATCCTCCAAACAGCGGCGGGCCACTTCTTGATAGGGCTGGCAGCGGCGGAGACCGCGGCGCTGGAGACTTTGGTCCACCCAACTTCCATCGGTCGCCTGAGGGACGAAGTTTTGAATGCAGGCGTCGAGATCGCTGGCCTCGCCTGAGCAGTAGCGGTCCGTCATGAGTTTTGTGAGGAGAACCTGCAGATTCTCATTCGTCACTTCCGCCATTTTTACTGTATGTGTATGTGTATGTGATTGATTGATTGATTGAGTGAGTGAGTGAGTGTTTTGTTTTCTTCTTTTTTTTTTTTCCTTGTTGAGTTTTATTGGTGTTCACTGGTATCGATTTCTCTGTTTTGACGTCGTTGTTGTTGTTGTTGTTATGTGTAATTTAGTCTAATGTTTACGTCTTTCTGCTTTTGTTTTTTTTTTTTTTTTTTTTTTCTGGTTGGTTTTCTTTGTTTGTTTGTTTGTTTTGTTTGTGTTTCCCTTCTCGTATTAGTCTTGTTGTTAATAATGATATTGTCGGCTGTGATGACCCTTTCTGTCAATTACTACACAGAAAATAAAGGAAAGGTAATAAATAAGAAAAAAAAAAAGAACTGAAAAGAAAAGAAATACTCATTTACCCATTGATATCTCTCTCTCTCTCTCTCTCTATATATATATATATATATATATATATATATATATGCATAAGTCATTATCATAACATGTATTCATCCATTTATATATACACACATGGACGCAAAAATATTGTCAAAGAAGATCATGTAAACTCTCTGCAGTGATCATATTCTCTAATGAATCTCCTTCTCTTTCCTTTTCTTTCTCTTCTTGTTTTTGATTCTTCTGTTTTCTGCGAGGATCACAGGCCACGAGGGCATTATGTATGGAATGAACAAGTGCAGGAGTTACATTACTGCAATCCAGCAATTCTCGTGCAAATGAGATCCATGCCTGAAACTCTCTTTCACTAATAAATAATATATCCCCATTAGGATTATTATTATTATTATTATTATTATTATTATTATTATTATTATTATTATTAATAGTATGTCTTAATGGGGAGTTCAGCCACCATGTATGTGGAACCCCAAAGTGAATGAGAAAGTGATCAAAGTCTATGAGTTGTACTGTCAATGAATGCCAATCCCCCTTCTGGGCAAGGGCATCAAACACCGCAGTGAATACACCAGCAGTTCCAATGATAATATTACCTTCTTTCTTCTGTAAATGATGAAAAATATCCAGTGCCTTCTCCCATTTTTTATTGCGAAGAAGAGATTCCATTAATGCCGCACTTGTGGCTGCTGTTTCCTTTACTCCATAATGTTTAAAATTGTTTGAAAAGACATCTAATGCATGTTGATCATCACTCACAGCGAGATAAGCATTCCATACATTCGTATCCTGCATAAGGGCATTGGCATGTTTTGTACGTTGTGGATCTGTAATGATATCTACAATAGATTGTATATCTTCTTGTGTGGCTCCCATACGATGTATAGCTCGTAATAATTCCGCCCATGCAATAGATGGTAAATAATATAAACG